GCCAGGTGGCTGGCGCTCACAGCCACAGCTTCATCAGGAAGGACATCGGGAAGGTCATTCAGCTGTCTGGTCTAATTAGCATATTACACTTTTGTTATTATAGATAAGTTGCAAAGGGCAAGATAGTGACTTCTTTCTGTATCCCTACCGATGCCCATATGGCACAATGTCTTAAATGCAGCCATTGCTTATACAATGTCTATTGATTAACTTGTATTAATCACATACCTTTATCACATTTTTTGAAGTTTACTAAAGGAGATTATAGTCAAGTTTGAAAAATAAGATTCAGTGACATGAAAACATTGTATTTAGTGTCAAATAAATGAGAAAATTAATTTGCAGTTTAATGAGGAAGGAAATCTGTAAGATTGTAGCAATAATCCAGGCTTTGAAACAGACGTAGGATTTCTGAGGGCAGAGAAAAGGATCTTAACCAGATAACTCTGGGTAGATGAAAGCTAGGGAGAGGTAGAGATTATATTATGAACACTCAACACTGTAAAGTCCAACACATTGGAACTCTCCAAAAGAATAATGTAATTATAGATTTACTCAAGTTATATTTTTTTGTTGTTGTATTGGTTTGGTTTATTTAAAACAAAATCTCACAGACTAGGGATTGCATTCAGATGTTCATTCAGGTGAGAAAAATGACGGAGAAAGACCTTACTGGAAATAGAGAGTTATTTTAAAGCCATCATGTACAAATGTTAGGAAGGGAAGAGAGTAAAATAACTTTCTTCATTTGTTTTAGCAGACAGAATGTCTTTTGGTTCTGCTCCAGAGTTTAGCATCAACAAAACCCATAAAATTAACCTATTTGTTCTGCACAAGACATTTTTAAAGGCAATTAAACAATGGGGTATAATGATATTTCCACCTTCTCTGCATCAAAAAGGTACAACAAGCAAAAGGTTAAATATACATCATTTCATCACAATAGCCCTACAATATAATTTAATTGTTTCCATGCACATTAAGAGTCTATTTACTATTCTTGCATATCTCAAAGAAGAAAAATAAAATAAAAATTAAATTACAAAGTAATCTTTCCTGGACTCCCTATTGAATCTCATAATTATATCAGGATTCATGATTTAACAGTTTATTGTTACAAGTAGTTTTGACATGCAAGATTTTGTAGAGCAAGAACAAATGAACAAAAAAGAAATAATTTCATTACCTAAAGC